TCTCCAGCGCTGGCTTTTGCTTGTGGTGTTAAATGTGTAGTTGGATTAATTTCATGTAATTACTCTCTCTCTCCAGCGCTCTGATTTGACTTTGTCCTTAAGTTCAGTTTATCACTAATTGGCAATATAACGGTAGCTAACAGCTGGAAGCTCAGATCAGACAGCTAAACCTTTATTGTACTGGTAGAAAAAATATGTTGTTCGATTAGTTTTATGTAGTTCATCTCTCTCTCCAGAGTTCTGTTTTGGTAGTGTTAGCTTTGTGAGACGATCAGCTTATCACTAATTGGCAATAAAATGGCAGCTTCAGCCAGCTAAACTTTTACTGCGCTGGTAGAAAAAACATGTAGTTGGACTGTAATTTCATGTAGTTATTCTCCAGCCTCTGTTATGGCTTTGTTACGTGGACAGAAAGGAGGGGGAGCACTGACCTTGTCAGTTTTGTGTGCTGTTTGGAGGCTGAGTGAAGTCAGCAGTTGTAGGATAGATGGAAGAGTTGTAGCTTATATTGTCATCGGTTTTAATTTCATGTTACACAGCATTTTTTCAGTTTGTAATCCTTTTTCTCATTTTCTCATGTGAAAAACTCAAAATGTGGGATTTCTCAAACACCAGACTTGAAAGTTCTGTCTTTGAAAGAGGAAAGCACTAGGACATGTGGTGGTTACAGAACTGAAGGGGACAATTTTCATTCTAGCCAAACAGTGGCTTGATTTGAAAACTAATGATCTATATCAGCTGCTGTACTGTGTTGTTGGAATGAAGGTAGAAGATCACTGCTACACACCATGTACCAACAACTGAGGGGGATTTTAGGTACCCATCTGGTCCAACAAGCTGCTGTCCGTTGGAGGAATCCGAACTGCAGTGAGATTGGTTTCTCCTCAGAGGGAAGGGCAGTTTGTTCCTTTGGATGGAGGGAAAGAGCTGCTGTATGTGAAGGTTAGAGGTTGTCATACTTACTGGGGAACAATGTTTAACAAAACATTTGTTTGTGGTATATGGTGAATTTGAAGAGTTGAGGATGTTGGACTCTTACATATTTTGTTAGCCCCTATCGCACCTAAACCAGAGATTCATCTGAAAAGCATGGTCCTGCGACCAGTGTGAATAATCATCCCACACAGAACCGTCAATATGGATGAGGAGAGTAGACGTATAGATGGAGGAGACTGGCTGATGATGCTGAACTGTTCTGTACACTTGAACAGGCAGTATGCTAGTGACATGTATAATATCCCCTGTAAGCAATCTTATGGTATTTCTGATTTATTTGTGTGCGATATATAAGGTTCCATATGAGAAAGGAAGGGAAATCTGGTCTACATTCTTATGTCACCAACGCTGTGACACAAAGTGCACTGCTTCTAAAGCAGGAAAACAAAGAGTATGGTTTGTCATGACCTCGATGAGTTCCTGCAGATGATAAGTGAGCTGCTATTTAACATCACTTACAGCAGCTAATGCTGCACATTGCTATTAGCCACAACGCAACTAATGCCAGGTTTATCTGTGGAGAAGCGCTAACGCTAATGAACAGTTAAATTATAATGTTTATGTAAATATGTCTGCAAGCCGCTTGTCTGTAGTTATAGTCAACGTGTCAGAAATAATTAAACCATTGCATTGTCATGCAGATGATACTCAGTTATATCTATCGATCAAGCCAGATGAAACTTATCAGTTTGCTAAACTTCAAATGTGCCTTCAGGATGTTACAACCTGGATGACCTGTAATTTTCTAAAGTTAAACTCAGATAAAACTGAAGTTATTGTTCTTCCCTGTTCTGTTGTTATCTAAAGATATAGTTTCCCTTGATGGCATCGCCCTGGCCTCCAGCACCACCGTGAGGAATCTTGGAGTTATCTTTGATCAGGACATGTCGTTTAACTCTCACATTAAGCAAATTTCAAGGACCGCCTTTTTTCACCTACGTAATATTGCGAAAATCAGGAACATCCTGCCTAAAAATGATGCAGAAAAACTAGTCCGTGCATTTGTTACTTTTAGGCTGGATTACTGCAATTCCTTATTATCAGGCTGCTCGAAAAAGTCCATTAAGACTCTTCAGCTGATCCAGAATGCTGTAGCACGTGTTCTGACAGGAACCAGGAAAAGAGATCATATTTCTCCTGTTTTAGCTTCTTTGCATTGGCTTCCTGTAAAATCCTGAATAGAATTTAAAATCCTTCTTCTAACCTACAAAGCTCTTAATGGTCAGGCACCATCTTATCTTAAAGAGCTCATAGTACCTTACTACCCCACCAGAGCACTGCGCTCCCAGAATGCAGGGTTACTTGTGGTTCCTAGAGTCTCCAAAAGTAGAATGGGAGCCAGAGCGTTCAGCTATCAAGCTCCTCTCCTTGGGACCAGGTTCCAGTTTGGGTTCAGGAGGCAGACACCATCTCCACATTTAAGAGTAGGCTTAAGACTTTCCTCTTTGATAAAGCTTATAGTTAGGGCTGGCTCAGGTAGTCCTGAACCATCCCTTAGTTATGCTGCTATAGGCCTAGACTGCCGGGGGATTTCCCATGATGCACTGAGCTCCTCTCTCCTCTACTTTCTCTCCCTCTGTATGCAACCTCATCCCATTATTGCATGTTACTAACACAACTTCTCCCCTTTCTGGTAGTCTTGTGCTTTCTCGTCCCTCTCCTCTCTCCTCCTATCACTTCTTGCAGGTGTTTCTGGCTCTGGAGCTGTGGAGTCTGGATCTGTGGCTGCGGGTTACCTGCTGCCCCCGTGTTCCTGCTCGACACCCTCTGCTGCAACGACTATTGTTACTAGTCCTATTATTATTATTGTTATTATAATCATTAACATTATGATTATTATCATTAACACTACTATAAATATCTGTACCATTTTTCATTCAGTCTATAGCAACATCACCTTTACTGTCTGTACCTCTGTGTGTGTATATTGTGTAGGCTGCCTCCCTCCCCTCTCTCTCTCTCTCTCTCTCTCTCTCTCTCTCCCCAACCTCTCCTTCCATCCCTCTCTTTTTCTCTCTGTTCCTCTCCTGCCCTCTCTCTCTCTCTCTCTCCCTCTCTCTCCTTCACCCCCAACTGGTCGAGGCAGATGGCCGCCCACCCTGAGCCATGGTTCTGCTCGAGGTTTCTGCCTCTTAAAAGGAAGTTTTTCCTTGCCTCTGTCTCCTAGTGCTGCTCTTGGTGGGAATTGTTGGGCTTCTGTAAATAACATCACAGAGTACGGTCTAGACCTGCTCTTTTATGAAAAGCGCTGTGAGATAACTGTTGTTGTGATTTGGCGCTATATAAATAAAACTGAGAAATTAAAATTGAATTGAAATAGTCGTGCAGATTATATGTAAGGTATGTATATATGTAGGAGATTCCTGTTTGTCATTATTACAGCATGAGATATGATATATGGTATTATTAATATTATTATTAGTGGGGGAAATAAAAAAAAATATCTTGTCTTGTCTTGTCTAGTCTTCCTACAGATTTATTGGTTGAGATTCAACAGTTCAACTGTTTCACAAATAAAACAATTTTATGATATTGCAGATATTACACTGCTGTGGTTAAGGTTTGATTAGGGCTAATGTTAGTGTATTCATTATAATTTCAGATCATAGTATAGGCTACTATATAGCTTACAACTAGTATAAGATTAATTCAAGTTTGACATTTGTCATTAAATTACTGTGCAAGGAAAATGCTCTACATGGTGGTTTGTCTCTCTTGTTTATGCAAGTTTGCTGTAGCAAGTCAACCATTTTTTTTATGTCCCACCTACTCTAGGCTGTGAATGATCGGTTCACGTGACTTTGACAAGCTACTTTCTGCTCACAGCTGTATGAAAGGCACCCGAGCTTCGCCCTGCTCTGACGACAAAGATTAGCAGGCAGGCAAGAACAGGAACAGGTGAGCGTTGCCAATGTCCTTATAGGCAAGTCAGCTATTTCGGACTAACAAGACCAGGCTCCTATCTGAATGAATGGAGAGCCACAACTGCACTTTTACTGGTCACTGGGACATACAAACTTCATGACTGGAATCAGCAATAAAATCTGATAAAAATCGCTGAAAAAGTTTGAAGACTTTGCCTGAAAATAGGGTTCAATAAGATGAAATATGTTTTTTGCCTCGGCTGTTAAAAGAAGACAATTGGCTTTGTAGCGGGAGTGGCGGGACAAGCGTTAACTTTGGCATTACAGGTTTTCCCTGTAGAGTTGTATTGAGGATACTTAAAGTGTGTCCCCTATATATAACGTCTCTGGCATCGTGTAGTGCCCAGAGAACCTGATATGGAGGGCAGAGAAGACTACCAGCAGCTTGTGAGACGTATTCCATATATGGTCATTTGCTCCACACAGCTACGCTCAGTTTGTCTGTACCGCTCAGTGACAGCAACAGCCTGGTAACATGCTTTGGGTCTTGGCCAATCAGAAGACAGTGGGTTTTGAGAGGGGGGGCCTTAAAGAGACAGGCGCATCTTCAGCTTTTTTCAGACAGAGGCTGAAATGAAGGCCTACATGAAGAGCCAGTATGAGATAGAAAAATATTTTTTTGAACTTTGAATGATGCAAAGCTGCCATACAGGAGTCACAGAACTACAATATAGGACTGGAAATGCAGTGTTATAGGTTTCCTTTAAGTTTTTTTGATAAATTGCTATTAAAACACATTTGGAGAATATTTGAAATGCTATTTTTTTCCAATTCAGATCATTCATCACTCTGGTAATTTTCCTTGCCAAATCCATCAGTACAATCGAGAAACTGTTACACCTAATGTGGATGAATAGAACAAATCCATGCCCTGTGTCTGTTATATCACTAGATGCCCAAATGGCATTCGACAGGGCAGAATGGGACTTTCTACGCTGTTGAAATTCAGGTTTGGCGATGGTTTTAGTAAATGGATAAAACTTTTATATTTAGGCCCCAAGACTGGCGATGTCACCAATGGAAAAACATCTCCATTCTTAAACATATCCAGATCAAAACCCGATTATATCGCTGTCTCACCTGAATGGTAACTATGCGTGGCAAAGGTTGGCGTGTGTTGGCTCCCCCCTCTATGGCGATACCAAGGGTGTTGGCATTTTTCACCACTCGTACCACAGTTGCAGTGGGCACCGGGACCGGTGAGCCAGTCTGCTGGGACACAAAGTGAAGAGGGATTAGGAGCAAGAGCAATTGAGAGCAGGCTTGAACTATTTATATAGACTAAATATATCAATTATATATATTGTTAAATTGCAAAATTTTTTCAATCTAGAACCTTTTTTAATTTTCAAATTAAGGGTTTTTCTGCATTAATTCTTTTAACCTTCTGGAACCAACAGTCCGTCAAGCAAGCCCACTTCAATGATTGGTCTGATGATGGGTCAGTATAAGTGACTTTAAGAATAATGAGGGTTTGTGTATCATCCTATCATTCAATTATTCCATTTAATATGGCAAATGAAAAAACAAATCAATATTTTGTTTTTCTGTATGTAACAAAAATTGAAAACTGACATTTGTTTCCTTGCTTTCAGCTCGAAACGGGAAATATAATAAACAAGGAAACCCAAACTAAATAATAGGTTGAATATACATTTTCTTTATTTTTCTTTATTTGTCTAAACATTTCCCACTGTGTGAGTCGGGTGTGACTGCAGCCTGAAGCATCCCATCTCATGCCCTCCCGCCTTCTGCTAGTTTCTACATTTCAAAATAAAAGCTTGCGTCTTGTTCACTATTTCTACCTCATACTTTAGTGTTATGATTTTGTTCTGTTTTTACTATAAACAGAACAACAAACAGGGTACGTTAGAAGAGGAAGGCAGGGTGATCTGCGGGGGATATCTTCTGAAGATCCCCATGCTGGATTCTCCAGCAATTTCTGCCAGTTAAGTGCAGGAGGAGAGGGATAATGAAGAATAAAATAATAAAAATGTTATAGTCTTTCCAAGACTCATTTTTATTTCCATATCCTATATTGTTTCCACGCTTAATAGGGAAATCACTGTAAACACAATTGTTTATTTTCTGTGTGTGTGTGTGTGTGTGTATATACACAGGTGAAACTCGAAAGATTAGCATATTGTGCAAAAGTTCATTTATTTCAGTAATTCAACTTAAAAGGTGAAAGTAATATATTATATAGACTCATTACATGCAAAGTGAGATATTTCAAGCCTTTATTTTAAATAATTTCGATTATTGCGTACAGCTTATGAAAACCCCAAATTCAAAATCTCAGAAAATTAGAATATTACATGAAATCAATAAAAAAAAGGATTTTAAATACAGAAATGTCAGCCCTCTGAAAAGTATAATCATGCATATGTACTCAGTACTTGGTTTGGGCCCCTTTTGCATGAATTACTGCCTCAATGCGGCGTGGCATGGATGCTATCAGCCTGTGGCACTGCTGAGGTGTTATGGAAGACCAGGATGCTTCAATAGCGGCCTTCAGCTCTTCTGCATTGTTCAGTTTCATGTCTTTCATCTTTCTCTTGGTAATGCCCCATAGATTCTCTATGGGGTTCAGGTCAGGCGAGTTTGCTGGCCAATCAAGCACAGTAATCCCATGGTCATTGAAGCAGGTTTTGGTACTTTTGGCAGTGTGGGCAGGTGCCAAGTCCTGCTGGAAAATGAAGTCAGCATCTCCATAAAGCTCGTCTGCTGAAGGAAGCATAAAGTGCTCTAAAATGTCCTGGTAGACGGCTGCGCTGACTCTGAATTTAATAAAGCACAGTGGACCAACACCAGCAGATGACTTGGCTCCCCAAACAAACACAGACTGTGGAAACTTCACACTGGACTTCAAGCATCTTGGATTGTGTGCCTCTCCATTCTTCCTCCAGACTCTGGGACCTTGGTTTCCAAATGAGATGCAAAATTTGCTCTCATCAGAAAAGAGGACTTTGGACCAGTTCTTTTTTTCTTTAGTCCAGGTAAGACGCTTCTGACATTGTTTGTTGTTCAGGAGCGGCTTGACAAGAGGAATATGACATTTGAAGCACATGTCCAGGATCCTTCTGTGTGTGGTGACTCTTGATGCAGTAACTCCAGCCTCAGTCCACTCCTTGTGAACATCCAACTTCTTTTGCAGTTACCTTTTGAGGCTTTCCCTCCTTGTGGAGGGTGGCAATGATGGTTTTCTGCACAACTGTCAGGTCAGCAGTCTTCCCCATGACTGTGAATTCCACTGAACCAGACTGAGAGACCAATTAAAGCCTCAGGAACCCTTTGCAGGTGTTTTGGATTAATTAGCTGATTAGAGTGTGACACTTTGAGCCTACAATACTGAACCTCACAATATTCAAATTTTCTGAGATTTTGAATTTGGGATTTTCATAAGTTGTATGCAATAATCATCAAAATTATATCAAATAAAGGCTTTAAATATCTCACTTTACATGTAATGAGTCTATATAATATATTAGTTTCACCTTTTAAGTTGAATTACTGAAATAAATGAACTTTTGCACGATATGAAATTTTTTCACCTGTATGTAGGAGCCAAGCTCCCCATGGCTATTTGGGTATTTTCTTAGATCCCCCAGGTAACCAGCTGCTTCAGATCAGCCCGAAACAAAATGCTACCTGGATGCTGATGTACTGAATCAACAGTTGACTGGAAATAGGAGAATCCTGAGTGTTTTGAGTGTCTCGCAGGCAAAGCAACGCACCACAATAAGGAATTGTTTTTGCTCTAGTGAGTTCAAACCCAGCTTGACGCAAGTAGTCTACATTTAATTTCTTTTTTTGTATGTGGCTATAATATAGGGCTCACTTCTATAATCATATTCGCCGCAGTCACTATGAGATGCGATGCAACTTGAAAAGAAATAGCCTATAGGCTATGATTTGTAATTGTGACCAGTCTGGGGACGTAGGACGACAACACCTGTTGCAAACGACAGGTAGTGTAAAAGCGCTTTGAGTGGTTGAAAAGACTAGAAAGGAGCTATACAAATACAGAGCATTTACATGTACAGCAGCCAGTTAGATTGAAAACCAGTAGTGATACAACATTGGTCATAAATAGAACAAAACGTAGCTGCTTTGTTTTTCCGTTTTGGGTTTAAAACAGAAAAAAACTAAAAAAACAGCTTCTTTTTTTTCCCAATTAGGTTTTGAACGGAATAATCAAATAACGAACCATATACGGATTTCAACGTTATTGATGATTTTGATATCTCTGTTTTGCATTGTGCTTAACAACTGTAGATTGCTTTTGTAGGTGCTCTCCCATATTTCCACAAGTAATTCAGATAGGTAATGAGTATTATACAGAGCATGCAGGGATTTATTGTCCAGATTATGTCTTCATTTATTCAGTATTCTTATGGTCTTTTGCAGATGTGCTTTGACAAGGTTTATGTGAGGTTTCCAGCAGATTTTGTGGTCTAAGACAAACACACACACACACACACACACACACACACACACACACACACACACACACACACAACCGATGCATGATGAGATCATTATCCACACAGTAAATCACTGTGGGACAAGACAATCTGAACTTGGTGAATCTAATAACTAACTGATGTGGTTATTTATGAAAAACAAAGCCCTCACTTGTCTGGTGGCCCCTGGAAGAGGTGTATGGGCCCCTTGCTGTTCCAAATGGCCCTGCCGGTTCCTGCTGGGTCGAGGGCTGCCGTCTTTACTGAGGCCTCCTGCCTCGGCTATATCCACCCCGCTGTCCTCACTCAGAGTCTGGCCGCTGTCTGACAGTTGGGACAGGGTGGCCCCTGGATGGGCCATTATAATGTGAGTATGCAAACAGGCAATACATACAGCAAGAGGGCTATTGTCTGTTCTCAGATAATTGCATTTGTTTACCTCAGCTGCAGAGAGAACCTTTAATCGATATAGGCTTCTTTTGGAGAAAGACTTTATATCTCGTTTACCATCTAAAGGTATATTTGATCACATTTTAGTATGATAATATATACTGTTTTCAGCTTTTATTTTGGTTGATGCACACTCAGTACTTAATTTCAGTACTCTGTTCATTTCCACAATACATTCCAATATACAGTATAGGGTTGCTCTAATTGTGATTATGGAAAAAATCATAATCACAATTATTTTGGTCATAACTGAAATCATGATTATCAACACAATGTGGAATCATGCATTTTTTGTTAACTTTTAAAATGTAATGCTTTTTTTAAAAATAATTATGTATTATCCAAAATAGCCCATGAAACAGGAAATAGAAAATAAATATTTTTAACTTTAAACAGCATCGTAAGACTGCAAGAGAAGGATAGCATGGCTGTGTGCGTTCCTTTTTTCTGTGTGTAGTGGAGCAGAGCAGGTGACTAGTGATGTGCGGATCGATCCTAAAGTATCGATATTTCTGATTCCTGCTCTAGGAGCAATACTCATATAAAAGGATCGATATCTAAACTCATTTGGAGTGAGTGTGTGCTTTATCATAAGTATCTTACTGTCACCAGGATGGTCTAATTATATTTGGTTGATAGGAACTACTTTTCCTTCCGCCTGTCAAAGTCATGCTTGCCTAAGGCTCTGTGATGGAGCTTCTTTGAAGTGAGCTGCTGCAGCTCTTTACATTTCCCGCGATTGAATACTGACTCTGGCTGACTGTAAAAACAGTCACGTCTGGCTGTATTTTAGCTATGAAGGTAATAATGCTGCTGTGAAATACTTTGGCAATACCGCAAACTTCGCTAAATATCTGAGATTAAGTCTGTGACAATAATATGATGATGATGTTATGAAGCGGCAGTTCTGAGCAGGATATTTTTATTATAATTAAAGAATATGACAGTAGTTTAATTGTCATTATGCAGCTATTATTTTGAAGTGGTAAGGCTACAGCCTACTCCTTATTTCTTTCATAAATACAGAAACGGGAGGGGGGAGGTCACATTAAACTAGAAATAAAATATGTAAAAAGTATTGGTATCGGTATCAGCAATACCAGCCTGGGTATTACTTGGTATTGGATCAGATAGGAATTAAGTGGTAACGCACATCACTACAGGTGACTCCTGTTGGGAGATGTGGTGACTTGTGACTAATGGTGAGAAAAGTAAAAATCAGGTAATACAGACGGGGACATGGTTTAGTATAAGCATAAATAATATGTAATGTAGGAGCCAGGTATGGGTTCTTGAACACTCCCTTCTTTTGGTTGCTCACACGCTTTAATCACATGCTGTGGGTGTTGATAGTAAATTAGGATATCACCTGTTCACGTTAGAGAGAGGAGGAGAGAGGGGATGATGGGGGTAAAGCCTCATTTTTTCTGACCGCAGTTCACAGTTTTTCTAGTATTTTATGGATATCTTTGCTGTATGGAACTTACCTGTAAATAAACCATCAAAATGCACCAATCGGAATCCTGGAATTATTAGACAATCAGTGCGTCTGGCAGACAGATTTTCCCTACTCAGCCTCTCGGTGTCTACATTTTAGTTTTTAGATAGACGCCTATATGTAAATTGTAAAGCTATGAGTAGGGGAAAAGTCTAGGCTAATTTATGCAGTGTAAAATGCTGTAGACTTAAGAGAGAAAGTATACATGACATTCCATCAAACTCATTTTTGACAGCTATTTCCGGTCCCACCACCCCCACCGGATGTCTGTATGTAACTGATAAGAGGGGTGCATCCGGTCCCGCCCCAACCGGAAATATGTCTGTATGTAACTGATAAGAGGGGGTGCATCCTGTCCCGCCCAAACGGAAATATGTCTGTGTGTAACTGATAAGAGGGGGTGCATCCTGTCCCGCCCAAACGGAAATATGTCTGTGTGTAACTGATAAGAGGGGGTGCATCCTGTCCCGCCCAAACGGAAATATGTCTGTGTGTAACTGATAAGAGGGTTGCGTACATCCTTCCATTGTGTGTTTTTCATTGATTTAAAGACTTTATTAAGTAATACAACTTGAATGAATTAACTAGGAGGTGTTTGTGACAATAAATTTATCATTAAAAAAGTATAGCAGTGAGTTATAAGTAAAGGAGGAATCTCCGGGGCCAGCAAAGGATCAGTAGGAGGTTTCTTTGGAATCAAATCAGTCTTTATTATTAAACAAGTGAAGAATAAATTGAAATAATGACAGTAAAGCAGTAAAATGGTATAACGGTGAGTAAAAATTAAACAGCATTATAAATTACCTTCAACAGCATGCAGCAAAATAAGAGTGAGTTCCAAAATTAAACTTTGTAAAATCTTTGCTAAAGCTTTGTGTGACAAACTTACCATCATTAAAGAACTAAAGAATAAGATGAAATAATTACAGTAAAATAGTATAACAGTGAGTTAAAATTAAAAGATTTTTTAATTACCTTCAAAATCTTTGCTAAAGCTTTGTGTGACAAACTTACCATCATTAAAGAACTAAAGAATAAGATGAAATAATTACAGTAAAATAGTATAACAGTGAGTTAAAATTAAACAGATTTTTTAATTACCTTCAAAATCTTTGCTAAAGCTTTGTGTGACAAACTTACCATCATTAAACAAGTGAAGAATAAATTGAAATAATGACAGTAAAGCAGTAAAATGGTATAACGGTGAGTAAAAATTAAACAGCATTATAAATTACCTTCAACAGCATGCAGTAAATAAGAGTGAGCTCCAAAATTAAACTGAAGTTAAACTAAAGTAAAATCTTTGCTAAAGCTTTGTGTGACAAACTTACCATCATTAAAGAACTAAAGAATAAAATGAAATAATTACAGTAAAATAGTATAACAGTGAGTTAAAATTAAACAGCATTTAAATTACCTTCAACAGCATGCAGCAAAATAAGAGTTAATATAAGAGAGTTCCAAAATTAAACTTTGTAAAATCTTTGCTAGTGCTTTGTCTTACAAACTTGCCATCATTATCACTCCAAAGCTGTAGCCTAGTCTTAAACTTGTGAGTCTTAAAACTTTAATCCTTCTAGAGTCTGTGTCTCCTCTTCTCTGTCCTCTCTCTTTCTGGTGTAGCATAGGCTGTGGGGTGAATTGAGGAATGTGCTCCACCCCCCGGACCTCCTTCCATCCCTCCCCTCCCTCTGTTTTCTCAATGAGCCACATCAAGTTGTGTGTTTTAACTGTCATTAGCATCTTCAGGTAATCTTGTAGACCAGTTATGGAATAGAGTTATCTATAACCCCAGACTCCGGTTGTTAAAAACGGTCTGGGTTTATCAGACAGAGTTCGTTTTCGAAACAGGAACCTATTTTTATCAGCCGGAGACAAGAGTTTGGAACTGCAGACTATCTAATAATCTGGTTGTACCAGAAGTAACGGCCCCCAACCCCTCACCAGTTATTTCCCACATGCTGTCACATACAAAATAAGAGGGTGGGCAGAGTTACCGTGAGCCAATGATAAGAGACTAGGAGGGGTTACCATAGGCCAATGATGGGGTCTGTGAAAATAAAAAGAGAACATTGTCTTCAAGAAATTGCCAAGAGGGCACTTGGATCCTTGAGCAGTATCTACCTACCAAAGAGGGGACCTCCATGCGGTTAATTTTTTTCAGCTAATGAGTGTTTGTATCTGTTAAAGACTTCTTGTTTCTTTCAAAAATGGAAATTTTAACATCAGTGTTAGTAATATTTAAACATTTCTCTGTGATCCAAAAATATTCAGGGCCACTTTATTGAGAATTTACAGTTTTACCTGTTATTCAGAAATAACTTGGATGCATGCACAAATATCAAGGATTGCAGTATTAGCAGCAAAAGGTACTTTATCCATTATATAAAATGTCTTATTACACTAGTGCAGTCATTTAAACTTTCTCTTCAGGTTTGTCTGTGGTGCTTGGTCATTTGGTGAAGTAGGCCTTTTTAAAGGGCCTTCATCTTTATCTTATTTTGTATTTGCTCTTCATAATTATAAATTAGGACTAAAATGCTCAGCAGCATGATCCTATTTTTTAAGTAATCACTAAAACAGGTTTATCAACTTTTACTAAACCTTTGGTATAATTCTGTCCCCAAATATTGTGAAATGAAATTGACCAGTTATAGACAAGATTTCTATCAATTTTGCAATGTACTTGTTTCTTCAATCTAAATTTTATAGGATTGCATTTTATTTATTGACTGCATTACAGAAACGTCCATTGTTGGCTGGCATGTAATGACACGGAGTTCCCTCTTAGTTCCTTCCTAGCTAGCATGGAGTGACACTCCAGCATGGATGAATAAAGAATGGGGTATTTCTATTAAGAGAATATTGTAATCTAAACTAAATATTTAATTTTTAGTTACACTTACAAAATAAGGACAATTCTTATGTAGCAAAAAAAAAAAACTACAAGTGTTAACAGCGTCCAAATAACTCTAAATGTAGTCTTTCAGTAACATATAGACTATGTCCCTCATTCTAAACTAAAGCCTTACTCATAACTAAGTCACTAGTCATGCTAATAGGCCTCCTCTTTCCCTTTAGTAAAAAAAGCTAGAATTATAAAAAAATATAGTTTACAACTTCATCAACTGGAAACTTCAAGAGCTAAAGTTTGATCCTTCTACTGAGAACCAGCTGCCTTTTGCTAATTAGGGTTTATTAGACTATTACAGAGGTCATGAAATCCAGAACCCTTCCCTTGGGGATGAAGTATTCAAATGCTAGTTAGCTACTTTGTTGACATAACAGGACAGTAGTTTTCTGTTGAAAATAAAACAGAAGGTTATAATAAATCTCCTACAGGTAAAAGAATAAAAATCAGCTTCTTTATTTTGGCTCAACCGTGATCTGTGCTAATAAC